CTACCCCTACTACCACTACTACCACTACTACCACTACTACCACTACTACCACTACTACCACTACTACCACTACTACCACTACTACCACTACCATCACCTAGCCAACGTTTGCTGCCATTGGTGAAGGCCCAATTTTTTCTTGCAGAACCACATGGCCGACATCTTCGGCTCGGTTCCGCAAGGCCTTCTTTCACAAAGACTTCGGTCGCCATGGCTGGGGGTCAAGTCTGAGCTCTAGGGACTCTAGGGTTTAGGGTTTAGGGTCTAGGGTTTAGGGTTTAGGGTTTCGGGCTTAGGGCTTAGGGTTTAGGGTTAGAGTTTCGAGAAAGCTCTGGGCTTTTCAGGAGTCGTTGCATATCCACTCCACCCGACGAGCTTGGCGCGAAGCGTGGACGTAAGGGATGTTGGAGTGGGCCTCGGCTTCCCGTGCCCATGATGTGTCTAGGGCTTGAGGTTTAGGGATATCTGAGGCTTAGAGATTCTTTTAGGGTTGAGGGAGTTTAGGCTGCCGATGGCTGGGGAATCCTTTTGCGACATGACCTGGCCCAGGCCATCTTGCTGCGAAGCTCCTGATGCTGAGCCCTGACGAAAGACGAAAGCACCAAGGCTCGACTGAATGCTGTCGACTCATGTTCGGAATACTTCCATGCAGAAACGGCATAGGAGATGAACCTCCTCTGGAATAGATTGGCTTCTACCTTTCAGTTCAGACACCGCTGCCCATAATCGAAAGGCAAGATCTACGACGTCTGCGGCCCAGAGGCCGTCAGCACGACGGACGTGGCTGCGCTGCTCATCGTGGATTCAGTGTAGATGGAGAGAGTGGTAGAGATCGTTGATGACCTAGACCCAAAATCCAAGCCCTCTTGAGGCATTTCTCAGCAGCACTCGGCCGCCCCATTGCAGCAGTGCAGATTGCTGCAGAAGAGTGGAGCGGGAATGCGGAGAAGGCGGCATTGCTCTAATTCCGTGCCGCGTTCGCCCAAACGTTAAACTTGTTCCAGCGCCGAGGCTGGCTTCCCCGGTTGGCTGGCGCAAGCAGTGTGCCGGAGCTTCACAGACTTCTGGGACAAGGCGGACTCTGCAATGCCTCGGGCCCATGGAGCAAATCTCGCCCGCAGAAAGTCGACGTGAGCTGGTCAAGACAGGGAAGGTCGCCACGCCTCGTCTGCGGAATGAGTTGCAACGGCAGTGACCAACGATTTTGTTCTTACAGAAGACTCAAGACTGCTTCAACCGCATTTTCCTCGTACGAACAGCACGGAACTGTTTCGTAGCCTCAGTTTCCATACTTGCAGTCGAGACAAGACGTTACAGACAAATTCCTCGTCAGAATCACGCATTCGCCATGCAAGAGATGCGACCACAAACGTTTGGGGGCAGACTCGGCACGCCATGGATGCTCTGGGAATCCCGACATGGCCGGGTTTGGTCAATGGATGCTCTGGTAACACTGTCTGAAAGTGCTCCAAGGTTATGCGTACCGATAAAAGGGGCCCTGCGAGTTTTGCTGGGTTTTTGGGTGGTGCCCGTGCAAGCTTTAAAGCAGTGCCAGGGACTCCTGGACGTCCCCAGCAGCCCAGAAGTGTTGGAGATATTCCCACCATCGCGGACCTTGCGTTGTGGCTGCACCTGGAGTTTAGGGTTTAGGGTCTAGGGCGTGGAGATGTTTCTCTTTCTTGGACCTCGCCAAGCGTTGCAGGAAGGCCTGGATCGAGGAGCACGCCTCGCTCGTGCAAGCAGAGCTTCCAGCCTAGCACTTCTGGCCGAGCTTCCGAGACATGGTCAAAAAGGGCCGTGAAGGTTTTTGCCGCCCCTGTCCGTGCTTGCTGCTCGGTAGCTTGCTGCACGCCGCCATGCATTGCGTCGTCAAACTCGATTCTTATGTTGTTGCGAGTGTGAGGCATCCCCTTCGCAGAAACTGGCCTGACACTTATCGCATGAAGTGTGGGACATGGGCTTTCCTCTGGCAGTGTTCTCCACTTTTTTCTGCAGGCGAGTCTGCTCCAGCAGCCCGTCAGACTCGATCTTCCGGTGCGAAGGAGCTCTGTGTGATGAGTCGTTTCATGTCGGTTTCGAGCAGAGAGCTTCCGGAAAAAAAACCTCTCCGACCCCCCGTCCTTTCTGAGAGGCCGGGGCGGGGGCCCCTCGATGCGGGGCTCTCCGAGGCGAAGCCGAGCCCGTCGTGGCCGAGCCCGTGCTTCCGCCCCTCGGAGCCTCTGGCGAATGACCCGGCCCAGAGGAGGGAGGAACGCCGGAGCTCCGTGGTTTTCGAGAAGAGGGCTCCGCCCGTGGCTCCGCCCGTGGCTCCGCCTACGCATGCAGCGCCAGCTGCGATGGGGAGATCAAGCTCCTCCCCATCCCTTCTTCGTGAGCCCGAGCTCAGGGAGCCCGAGCCCATGGTCCCCGCGGACTTCCCCTCCACCCTGCGGCGTGTGCGGCGGGGGGCGCCCAGCCGCGCCAACATCGCAGCCGGCACCGCACGCCCCACGAGCTGCGCAGGGTCCACGAACCGAGCAGTGCACCGAGCAAAGGCCGCTGAACAGCTGCTGGAGCTGGCGGATCGCGAGGATCTGATGGGCGCCTATCTGAGGCCTCCAACTGCGGTGCAAGCCGCAGCTCCTCCAGCACCTCCTGTGCGCAAGCTGCAGAAATCCAAGCCGGGCCACTTTGCCACGCAACGCAGGGCCTCCAACATGAAAAGAACGCGACAAGCAGAGATCGACGTGTCTCCGGAGGCTGTAGACCCCTATGCAGCATCCTTCGCCGATGCTCGGCCAAATGGATTCAGGTCATTCCACAACGTTTGCTTCTCATTTTTCACCGTACAATCACCTGCGAGAGAATAGGCAGTGCACACAGTGCATGCCAGCTCAGTGCAGCATCTCCGTGTCTGGGAGTCTAGGATTTTCACAACCCGCCGAGGAAGTGTCGGAGGTCTCTGAAGGCCTTCTCCTGACCGACCACGACCGGGGGCTGGAGACGAAGAGCATGGACTCCGGCCTCTACAGTTGGTCCACCTCTCAGATGTTCTCGGTACGTGCGCCACGAGTGACCCCTGATAAAACGCACATTCTGGAAGCATCCATGCCCAAACCATAATAAGGTTCGTGTTTCAAGAGCATACGGTTACCAGAGCATCCATGCCCAATCCATGCCAAAACCCCAGTTTCAAGCATATTGATGCAATCTCTACGTGCAAAATACCAG